CACGCCATTAAACTTAGGGGGTAAATATTTTGGATAAAAACCCTAATGTGGGAAAGAGACCATAAATTGCTGCCAACATCAAGGAAGCAAGATAGCCATATTAAGGTAATTGGTATTTTGACATTTGCAATTGAGAATTTGACAAATGCAAACAATAAATTTATAATTTCATGCGGATGAAGCCGCTCGCGAAGCTTGTTTTAAATAACTACTTTAACTAATTGTCGTTTTTCTCTACATTGTGTATACGAGATAGTGAAATATGTTTGTCATTCGTTTCTGTCATCATAGCAAGGTTCTATTTACGGCGAGCTCAGTTGCTTAAATTCAAAATCTGTACACAACTATAAATCATGTCGGCCACATCTTAGCTACTCGACAGCAATCTCAAGCAAATATACTTGAAATATTAAATATATCAACTAAGCTTACATCACCGTGAATTTTAACATTCCAAACACATGTATAAGAAAATCGTTATCTCTGGATTATCATACCATATTAGAGAGCATGGCAATATTTTAATATATCAGCAATATAGTGGAGACTTAATTTAAAACATAACGTATCTAAATTCAAATATAATAATAAGTTTTGCACGATTTTCACGTAACATGATCATGATCATGAAATCTCAAGTCGAAGCCCACATGAAAGAGATAAAATCACAAGTCGATCAATCCAACCAAGAGATTGGAAAAAGTCTAGACTTCCTAACGGAACAATTAAAAACCTTTGAAGATAAGTTTTCTACCTTGGCTGTGGAGCGAGGCGTTCTAGAAAAACGGACAGTGCTTCTCGAAGAGCGATTAGATAACATGGAACGATTTTCTCTAAAAACTGCCGTCGAGATAAGAAATGTCCCCAATAGGCAAGCGGAATCCAAACCCAATCTCGTCCAGGTCTTTGAGAACCTAACTAAAACTCTGAATGTTCAAATTCCGAAGAGTGAACTTATGGACATGTACCGACTGCCGGCAAAAAAAGGTTCCACCACATCTACACTCGTTGTCGAATTTACCAATACTTGGACTAAAATGGCTATGTTAGAGGCAGTCACAAAATGTAGAAAAAACCGATCAGAACAACTAAACTCCAAACACCTTGGTTTCGTCGGGGAAGTAGTTCCTGTTTACATCTCGGAAAGATTAACCTTGAAAACCAGACGACTACACTTCCTAAGCAGGGAATTAGCAAAGACAGAAAAGTACGCCCACTGCTGGGTTAAAAATGGTAAAATATTCCTACGCAAACTGGAAGGGGCGCCGTACATAGTCATTAAAAATGAAGATCATCTGCATTCATTGAGAACACAAAATAATATAATATGACTACTTTGTGTAATATATAGAAGTGTCTGTATAACCAATTTAGTACTTAACTTTATCCTGTTAAATCTGTTTTTAAATGTAATATGTAAATACACTTTACTAAAACACAAATACTCATACACAAACATTAATACTAATCACCTACTTTCTTACACTTACTCTCATATAAGCTATCAATCTTATACTACATTGTGCAATGCAAGATGTAACATAAACAAAATAAACCTGAGTTATATTTACAATTCACTGACTTACACTAACTGTCTAATAAAACATTATAAAAGCTGTACTATATGTGCCGAACTACTTTTATTTACGAAACGTTTTATAGGATTTATTATGCATTACATTAGAAATAATATGTATAAACACGAGAAAACATGTTTTGGATTTAACCTTTCTCCTTATAATTCTCCTAAAAAATATGCTGTAAAAATTATACACATGGTAAGAATCAATCGTTTTAAAACTATTTACAGTAACACTTCTATAACATTCCTCTATTATTGGCTACTTAACGTTTACCAGTATTATTACTTATTAACCCAACAACTCGTAACATATTTACAGACTAAAAACATACATTTTATTAAATCAACAAGCGGTATAATTTATACGTATAATAATTCGTTCTTGACGTTTTATAAAACAGACAGCGCTTATCGCAATATGCCTATGAATTGTTTTGATCGAACACTTATATACAGTTACCCTCAATTATATCTGATATACAAATTATGGACCACACAATATCCATAATTAACGATAACATTGACAGCATTGTACCATCTAAGTCACAAACATGCACACCTGAAGAATGTGATACTTTAATAAGTTTTCCTACGCACAAACTAAAGATTCTTACACAGAACATAAGGAGCATAGCGTGCAATTTTAATGGTTTTCTTTTACTTCTATCCAGAATATCAATTACTCCAGACATCCTAATCTTGACGGAATGCTGGCTCACTATTTCTTCACGTATACCACAAATTAATGGTTACGATGTTGTAAGTTCAAAACTCCTAAAAAACCAAAACGATGGTATAGTCGTCTATACTAAAAATAATTTAAATTGTGATTCATATGAACATAAACTAGTAGATGCTACTTGTCTTATAACTAAAATAAAAAATAGTATTATCCTAATATCAATTTATCGATCGCCTTCTGTTCAAAATATAGTACCATTCCTTAAATCGTTAGAAGAACTGTTAGATGTATATAAAAATTACAAAAACGTTATAATAACTGGCGACTTGAATATAAACATACTGCCTGGCATATTAGATAATAATTCATCAGAATATTTGGATATGTTGGCTCTGCATGGGATATTACCTGGTCATACAGAGCCAACAAGGGATAACAACTGCCTTGATCATTTTATGCTACGAACTACACATTGCTGTCAAGTTTTAGTTGTACAAAATAGTCTTACTGATCACGACACTATACTTCTGGTCA